AACCTTTATTCACTAACCTTCCATACAACCCACAATTCTTCCAACAACAACGACCACAACAACAATTCACTCAACCTCAACTCATAACCCAATTCCAAGGTTTTCAACAAGTTTATCCACAACTCCAAACACAATCATCTCAAGTCCCATTAACTCAATCCCAAACCGTGAACCTCGACAACGGCGATGAAATGGTCCAAGAAACACCACAACCGTCTCGAAGAAGGCAACCAAAAGGAAAAGGGAAAAAGAAAGCAACAGCTTGGAACGAAGAAGAAGAAGAAGTTTTAGCAAAAGCTTGGATTTTCATATCATGTGACTCGAGGAGAGGCAACGCGCAATCTGGAGAAAGTTTTTGGAATCGTGTTTTGGATTACTTTCACGCGCTACTTGGAAGGAAAACGGATCGGTCGTACGACGCGGTCAACGGAAAATGGCGTGATCTTCGCGCGATTTGCACAAAGTTTAATGGCATATTTGAAAATCTAAAAAATATGCATAAAAGTGGTTCCAACGATTTCAACATTTTATCAACCGCGTGCTACCAATTCAAAGTGACCAACAACGGTAACCAATTAGTCACCAAAAAGCGGAGGAAATGTGTCGTCAAGGTCCAAAATGGGTACTTAATCCAGAGACATCGCATTCGGACTCGACCACCGGCTCCAACAAGAGACCAAGAACTTCTGATTCGGACGCGAGTTTAGGCTAGACCTCAATGATGGTGTCGATGTTGCCGAGGGAGAGGGTCCACCTGAAGTCCAACTCCGCCGACCACCGGGAAGGGACAAAGCAAAACGGGCGGCATCTTCAAGCGGGAAAGCAACCGCAACTAGCGACGACAAGCTTGTGGAATCCACAGATAAAACTTTAAGTTTTCTAGAAAGAAAATACGAATCCACGGAGGAATCTTGTCGCCAAAAAATCGCTCTTACCGATCTTCAAATCATAAACTCGAAGCCCCTACCGGATCTCGACCCCGAAAATCTTGCGACATTTCTCAAAATCCAACAACGTGTCCGTGCTAAGTATGAGGATTAGGTTCTAATATTTATGTTTTAGTTGTTATGTTGTGTGTTTTTTTTAAGTAATTTAGGATTTTTTTTAAGGTATTTTAAGATAAATAAGTAATTTAGGATTTTTTTTTGTTGTTTTTTAAATATTTTAGGATTTGATTTTGTGTGTTTTAAAATTAATGCAATGTGTTTTAATTTAGTGTTTTTAATGTGTGTTTTATTTGAATTACTTTTTTTTAATTTAATCTAATATTGTCAAAAAAAAAATAAAAAAGAAAAAAAAATGATGTGGAGTGGTAACCATTTCTAAGGGTTAGTGGGTTGATAGTGAGTTTGTAGTGGAGGTAATGTGGCGCTGATGTGACGTCACTTTTTGAGTAGGGATGAGCGTGGGACCAAACCCGGACCGGTAGACCCGGACCCGGAAAATCCGGGAACCGGTTAACGAGATTTTTTAGGACCGGAAACCGGACCGGTATATAGGAACCGGTTCCGGTTCGGTTCCGGGTAAGGTACCGGGTAAAGTGGGTCTAGAACCAGAAAACCCGGAAATATCAAAGTGGGTCGAATGGAACCGGGTAAAGTGGGTCTAAAACTGAAAAACCCGGGGAACCTGGTAAAGTGGGTCGAATGCATGTTTTAAAATTTCACAAAATACAAAAATAAAGTTGAGAAAAAAAAAAGAAAATTGGGAGCTTTGATATCCCAACTTTGAGAGACTCTAAATCAATGAATATGAAACCAAAAATGACAAAATTATAGTCTAAAATCATGTACAAACTTATACTACACTTTGGAAAAAACCGCATGCTATTCCGACATCAAACGAATTAGATATGCATGTTTTAAATCTATCACAAAATACAAAGAAAGCTGAAAAACATAAAATTTTCAGCTTTGATATCCCTACTTTGAGAGACTATAAGTCAATAAATAAACACCCAAAAATAACAAATTTATAGTCTAAAATCGTGTACAAACTATAAACTACACTCTGGAAAAAATGGACACTTTTATGTTTAATAAAATAACTCTACATTATATTGCAATATTAAATTTGTTAAATTTTAAAATGGACACTTTTATGTTTAACTATTAACTTATTTTAGACTTTTCAATAAAATACTTATAACTAATTTCTATATTATAATATAAATTAAAAAAAGTTTAGTAGCATAGACGTGACATCGCATATTTATTCTAAAACATTAACATAGTTAAAATGTATACAAAGTCTTAGCTAATAAATTGACATTTTTTTTTCTTAAAATAACACATTATTTTTTTCAATCTAAACTAATATATTTATATTAATATTTTATTGAATTTATATTAATTACAGATAATTATTATAGGTTAATATTTAAGATGTATGTTAAAAAAAGTATCTCTTGATGTGTCGGTGATGATCATTTTTGAAAGATAAGTAACATTGCATTGATATAAAAGTAATTCAATAGCTGAAATGATATGTTTGAAAGATAAATAATATTGCATTGATGTTACTGGATTTACTCTTAGTAGTTTTATTATTTGTAGCTAACTTGTCACATACATTAGATTTGGTAAAGATAAAATTTAACACACACTATTTTATTTATGGATAACATGAACGTTAAAAATGTGACATAGGTGTTGCGTTGATGGGAGTTACCTCCCATTAAGTTTTTTTTCTTATGAAGATTGGTTAAACTCGTTCTAAAATCCTCATCTTGCTAAAGGTGTGAAGGAGTATTTGGAGGGTGTTTTCTTTGTGATGTTGCGGTGCATTTGGCTGTTCAGGAATAAAATTCTCTACGGTAAGGCCAAACTGAAGAAAGCTCTTTTGTTTGATGATATTGTCTCGAAGGCGTTTTATTGGTGTAATAATAGGAATCGGCGGGTTGATATTAACCGGGTGGGTTGGCTTCAAAAGCCTAGTTTGTTTTCCTTTTTGTTTCTCGCTTATTAGACCTTTTTCCAATGGTTTCTTGCTAGCTTTTTCTTTTTATATATTTCCCTCTTTGCCGTTCAATTACTTTTTTATAGGGTGTCGATCAATTACACTGCACGACATAAAACGAAATTGAGACGATTTTGAAATTTGAATTCGTTTTTAAAATAGGAATGGAATTAACAAGATTTAGGGGTTGCTCTTAATACCTCTTAAAAGGAGAGATCTGAATTTTTTCAATTAAGAGTGTTTGGTAGCATCTTATTTTTTGTCTCTTAATTTTCCAAAAGGCTCTTAATATTTCAGATCTGAGTACGCATCTGAAAAGAAAAAAGAGGCACGCGTATTTCATTTTTCCTAACTTACCCTCTTCAGTTCACCCTCCTCTCTTTTTCTTCCAGCCATCAAAAATACCCGCCTCCATCCTCTCCGTTGCACTTCACAGAGGACCACTGCCGCCCGTCGCACGCACTACCTCGGTCACAGGTCACCGTCGACACCACCACCCCCTTCTCCTCCCACTCACCCCCACTCCGTTCCGCCTCCCTCCGGCTAGAGACGCCGCCTCTCTTCCCCTCGCACGCCGACCGCCGCTGCCTACTCCTTCTCCTCAATCGCAGTGAAATTTTTACTGTTTATTCTACAAAAACACGGAACCAGTTTTAACAGATAACAATTTCTGATGATTTCGTTTATTCATATTGTTTCTTAATTCTGATGTAAATTTCCAGGTAGAAAACATGAGATAACAAGGTTCCCAAACTATCATTCCATTATAGATGAATTCTGATATAAAAATGTTGTTTTTTATTTCCATTGTCCAAAGATTAAAGGATGTTTTTTTATAAAGGTGTTTAGTGTTTACATAATTATTTGAAGGTATTTGGTGTGTTGAATGTGTATGCAGGACTATGAGATTTTGTACAATGAATTTTGCACATAAGGTGTTCGATGGAATGCTCGAGAGAAGTTATGGTGAAGAAATTATAACTATACATATGGATATTATTTTTGTGTGTGCTCTAATATTAATTTTAGTTTCAATTGACAAAAAAATTGCTTATATATATTATTAGATTTCGGAACATGTCAATTTTATATGTATTTCAAGTTGTGTTTGTTATGAGGGTAAAATGGTCATTTTTATCATTTGACACAGAAATTCAGATGTTTCAAACAAACAACATTTTAAAAATTTAGATCTTACAAATTCAGACCCTCTTAGAAATTCAGACCTCTTAAAAATTCAGATCTTAAAAATTCAGATCCTACCAAACAGTCCCTTAGCATTGTTTGTCATGTTTGTCGTGTTATGTATAATTAAGTATGGATTAAATAAACCGGTAGTTATTTTATGTATCTTTGTCGTGTTATGTCATGTTTTAATTGATTCATTTTCTTGTTAGTGAGAAAAACACATCATGTTGTTTCGTTTTCATGTTACATAAAACTTTATCTTGTGTCAAACAAAAACACGATATGATTGTTACTTTGATACACTTAAATATTATCTTAATTTACTAACGTTGAAGAGTTTGGCCTGATGGGTCTAAGTTAGTTTTAGTGTTGCAGCCCATTAGAAATATTTAAATGGACCAAAAGGAGTCCAATACAGTATGTTTATGATTCGGTATTATATGGTTTTATTTATGGGCACCAGGGACAGGGAGAGTTCATTTCTTTTGGGTGGCAGGAATGCGGGATGAACCTCCTCGTTTGAGCTATTTTTTTTGACATTATACGAAAATTTTACGCTTTCAATTGTAATGAAATTATTTATTGGGGTTGTTTTTGCCTTAAGTTTATGTCTTACTATCACTTTGATTTACTTTTCCATGTTTGCATCGTCATAGGTTATCTATATGACACAATCACTCTACTCCTTATAGAAGCACGCATGTTGACATCTTCCCCTATCATTTCTAATGAGATTCTCGGAGTCTGTTGTTGACTTGCTAGTAATGTTTCAATCGTGGATATCATTTTAGAGGGTATGATTGGATTTCTTGGCTTGGCATGGTGTTGATTATTCGATGATAAGTCTTTGTTTGTCTTTAGTGTGATTCCATACATCTTGATTGCTTTTAACAAGCGTACGATAGTTATTTTATACTTCTAGTTTCGTCTAGAAAAAACTCATATACTGCTCTCTTAATGGTAAATAGTGGATTCCAGGCAGCTTAAGGTTCCATGGTTTTTACTCTAGTCTTGAAAGAGGTTTTCTACACAAAAACTTGGTGTCTTCTTTGTGTCGTTGCTAATCATTTCTTATTTGAGCTTGATTGTATTGCAATTACAATACTTTATTTGTTTACATCCTTACATCTTCAATAGCTCATTCGAGTCAGGAAAGTTCCACCAAACAATGATAAACTATATGACCATTTCTCTATACATTAGTGTATAATTTCTATCTACATTTTACTAATTTAGTATACATCTGTATAAATACTAAACAATACAACAAATATCCAGGAACTCGTGTCTCCCCAACTTCAAGAATCAAGAATTAAAACCGATGTTATCTTTTAAATCATGTTGTATAGTTTTCAGTAAGAAGAAGAAGAATCATTCCGCATACACTCCGGGATTGGAAACTTTGTAACATCACGTCCCACTTTGCTAGTTCTAAACTCCGGTTGTCCCATAGAATCGTGATGCAAATCCAAAATAATTTTTTTAAATTCCTTTTCATTTAGAGAAGTTTTAAGAAAATGGGTTAGCATTTGTCGTTTGTTGGGCGTAATAGTCTTTTTGTGCCCTAAATATGCCCTATGCCCTTGGATCGCATGACCCATGTTCCCACCATGTGAAGCCATGAACACATCGCTATTTTCAGACACAATGTAGTCAAGGGCAGCCATGATTGAAGCTTTCTTTGCAAACGGCTCGAGTTCTTTGGCTAACCCGAGGTCTTCTTTGTTGTAGAAATGAGGGAATTCGGTTACTAATGGTAATAAAGCTTGTGGACCCCCTAATGGGTTCCCACCTGCCCAAAAAATCTGACCGTTTTTGGGCACTCCTAGAGCTTTCAAGAGCCTATAAAAATATCAAAATTGTCGGTAAGGATTAGGGATGTAAACTGATCGTATATAGAATGTATGTGATCAGTGATCATATACATATTTCCACATCCGTTTTTATCTACGAAATAGCAACTTATGTTCATAATCATTGATTTGATTATTTTAGCATCCAACTAATTTCATTTCTTCTTATTACAACAATTGTTTTGAAAATTCTACCCAATTATAGGCCGATAGCAATGTCACTTTAACTACTTGCATTTATTTGTTTATTATAACATCATAGTTTCATTTTTTTTCTATTTTTACTTATTAAAAATCTACCAAATGATATCAATGTACTTTTATTTTTATTTTTTTCTTAGTAGGACATTGTAATTTGACCATTCTACACCCCACTATAGCAATGGAAATTGTTTGGGTATATATAATTGAGTAGATTTTTCAAAGTGTAATATTGTACTCGAAAAAAAAAATATAGGATGCTAGAACAAAACAATTATAGGAATGTATGTTGTTGTTTCTTGCATTTAACCCCTTATAAAATCATAACAAGAAAAGAAAAGCTTACCGAGTGACTTCCAAGGCATTTAATGGGCAAAGACCGGCAAGTTTTCGGTCATGGTATGTCATGTTTGATCTTGATGTTAAAAGCTCCGGACGACTTTTTCGTTCCTTATAAATTATCTCGTCATATTCCGGGCTCAAGCCCGGAAGACAACCCGTTCTAACCCATACATCTTTCTCCATTCGAAGATGAAGCGCAAGATAAGGCCCTTTGCTTCTCATTCTTTCTGTTAGCTTGTCTCCTAGTTCACGAATTGGTGGTGCAAACCGCAAAGCATGAAATGCCACCTAAGCAAGTCAAAAACTTACATTAGATTCCGTAGTTTGATATACAGGTCCAAACTTTGACCAAACATTTTTGGAATAATTTTATTTGAACCGGTCATGGACCGGCCCATATCCATACAGAATATGGACCGGTCTGTACCAATCATGAATTAGGCATTTTTTGGATTGACATTGACCAGATTTTGACCGGGCTTGGATATTTTGGGCCCGCCTAGGTCTAGGTCTATTTTTTTTTTTTTTTTTTTGTTGAAAACAAGGATAATGACCGATGATACCTTGCATCGAAGCTTCTGGAGATCAGAAGGAAGATCTTTGGAGAGCCTCGAGTCTAAACCACGCAACAAAAGAACGCCTTCTCTTCTCATCTGTATCCACAAACGAACAAAAAATACCCGAATTGTTAAATCACTTTGACAAGTCAACGAACGGCTCATAGATGACTAAATGCAACAATGTTTGATACTTTTTGGTAAAAAAAAATCGATCTTGGAATCATCTATGTTGACTACTTGACTAGGTAAACAACCGAATTGACTAAACCAAAGAGACAAACAATGCATTTGTGAGCATCTAGGAAAGTTGATTACCCTTTTGAGGTAACGGGCGCGTATCCATTGAGGGGAAACATGAAGGGGTGTGTGTTTCTCTTCCACTGGTCTGGACATTAAATGGTTAGATGGCAACGATGATAAAATTCTGACGTCATCTGCTAAAGCTTCCTTGAAGTGATCCACATCAAATATATCAGAAAATTCACTGCACCAAACAGATTGAAGATTGAAATAAGTTTATCAAGATTGTAATCACAATTATAAGAAGGTCAATACTGTCATTAAAGATTCTTTCAGAATCTTGGTACGTCAAGAGTCGGACCAAAATTGGAACTGGAAGGGAAGAAATTTACGAAAAACCCAAACCCCATGTGAGAGAAATCTTGTCATTAACTCAAAAGATAGAGGATTTGTGTAATTTTGCAGGAAGACTTTCTTTACATTAATCATGAGTTATTTCAAGATTGTGTCAGAATAGAAATTTGAAAAGGGAAGGAGTTTACCAAAAAAGAATAAAGAAATGATGAATAATACCTTTCGTCTCCCCAAATAACATTGACTTGTAAGATTGGTACAACAAGAGCAGCACCAAGGATTCTAGCAATCACAACAGCATCAACAATTTGATTTCTTTGTTGATTCATGCCACCGGAAACCACCACCACCAAATACTTTCTTCTGTCTTTTAAAATCTCAACACTTGATTTCTTATACTCTTCACTGAAATCCAAACAAGGCCTATATCCAAACCCATCAGGTTGTTTCCAAAAATCATTCATTTCTTCATCTTTTGTCTCATAATTTAAAACCCCATTTGGGATTATGCTTAAACTGTCCTTCTGAGGGGTAAGGGTAACCCCACTCCCACTCCCAATCCCACATGGGTTTGGCAAAAAAGGGTCGAAATTATACCACATCTTCAACATAAGAAGAAACCCACTTAAAAAAAGGAACATAAACCATGTTTTAGGGTTCTTGAGGAGCTTTGACCTTGAAAAAACTCCTGTTTTTGAAGCTTTCTTTGGTGAAACAAGGAGAGACTGGAGTGAGTTAGATGAGAGAGAGTTTATGATCTCTGAAGGTACGGATATGTAACATTGATGATGATGCTTCTTGTTGTTGTTCACACTTTTCGAAATCGCCATTGAAAGATGAAGAAGAAAATTAGAGGAAAACAAGCCTTTTGTTGTTATTTCTTGTCTTCATGGTGTTTTGCAGAGAAAGAGGGGAGGCATGGAGACATGGAGGGATCGAGGTGAAAACTTAAGAATCTCCGTATAGAAATGGATAAATGGGTGAGAAATCAGAAAATGTGTGTGATCTTATTATAAATTTGTGTCAGACATTTATATATATAGGTGTGAAGTTGTGGGGTGGGGTTGGTGGCGGGAGGGGAGGAGAGGGGAGGGGGTGGGTTGGGGTGAGAACTGAGAGCTATTTTGGTGCAGGCAGTTTGAATCTTAGTGGAGACTTGAATTTTTTTATACTTTAAATCCATTGGGTGGTTTTCAAATCGGTACATCATGAAAGGTGTTGCCATGTTGGTTTTTTGGGTTCCGTCCGTCCTAAAAAGAATACTTTTGATCGTCTCTACAAGAAATAAATAAAATGACTTTATAATATCACTTTGTAAATTTATTTTCTTGTACATCAAAATCTAAAACTTTTCTATCAAATAACATATTAAAACTTAATTTTGTATCCTTTTGTTGTTAAAACAATATTTCTTCTTAGGAATAAAATGACTTACAAAGGCAATAAAATTTTAATTTTGTTAAAAAAGAAACCATTAAAGTTTTTTTTAGATACGTTTTTAAATGTTAAAAACACACGATTATGTAGCAAATTTAGTTCGTTTTTAGTAAAAAATAAATACTGACATGGATGGACGTTATAACAAACTTTTGATTTTGTTTCAAAAACACCATTAATTTCATCAATTTTTTTAAAATTATCATGCTTTATTTTGCCACATAGGCAGGGGAACACCGCCCCTCTCCCCTCCCTCCCCCCCCCCTACGCGGTTTTCGGTGCGGTTTGACCTCATCTCTCTCTCTTTTGACTGCATTTGCTAATTGGTGGATGAAATATTTGACTGTTGAACGGTCAAAACCTTTTAAAAAAAAACTTTACCTGTAAAATAAACTACTTACCTTCATTTCTTCAAACCAAAACTAGATTTTTATATCTTTCTATTGCTTTTTTTTTCTCAAAATTAGTAAAAATGTCATCCTCTTCGTCTTCTGAAGAATTTCAAGTTATTTTTTATGCTGCTATTGCTTATGCTCAAATGACGGAACAAACGTATAATGCTTTATGCAATAACGCAGCCGAAAGTGCTCAACAGAGAACACAAAGATATATTTACATAAATCATGAAGAAGCCAACCAATGTTTGATACAAAACTACTTTCACGATAATGTCACTTATCAAGGGTACTACTTTCGCAGACGTTTCAAAATGTTCAAACGTTTATACAAACGTATAGTCGAAGATTTAACGATGGAGCATAGTTTTTTCCAACAACGTTTTGATGCTAGAGGTACACCCGGTTTCACTCCCTTACAAAAATTCTCAATTGCACTTCGTCAATTAGCATATGGCATCACCCATGATGCGTTGGACGAGAGTTTTAGGATGTTCGCTAGGACCACACGAGATAGTCTCAATTACTTTTGCAAAACTGTGCTTCAGATGTATGGTCCAAAATATTTACGTAAGCCTACACGCAATGACATCTTACAATTGCAAGCTCATCATGCTAGCGTACATGACTTTCGTGGAATGATAGATAGTTTAGATTGTCTCCATTGGACATGGGAAAATTGTCATACCTCACACCATGGTCAATTTACCCGAGGTGATCATGGTCACCCAACGGTCATACTTAAAGTGGTGGTGTCACACGATCTGTGGATTTAACATGCTTTTTTTGGTTCTCTCGATTCGATTAACGACATCAATGTTCTGAATCGTTCACTTATATTTAACAACATATATGACGAATCTGCACCAGATTCGTCTTTTGAAGTTCACGGAACACCATATAAGTATGATTATTATCTTGTTGATGAGATCTATCCTGAGTATGTTGGGTTTGTTAAATCGTTTACATGTACACATGGTTCTAGACAAAAAAAATTCAAGAGAGCTCAAGAAAGAGCTAGGAAGGATGTCGAGTGGGCTTTTGGAGCTCTTAGAAAACATTGGTACATATTGAAAAAACAAACAATTTATTTCGGTGAGACGGGCCCTTGCCCTTATCAATAGAAGTATCTGAAACATTCAATAAAACTGTAAGCACAAGCTTAGTGAGTTTCCCAATCACATTAATCATATAATCACATAATGTCATGCTCATACATATACAAACAAGTTTGCCATGGACTCCCTCCATGGTCTTCAATGAAATGCCATGGGCTCCCCCCATGGTCTTATACCCTCATGCCATGGGCTCCCCCCATGGTCTTGCCAAGTGACATGGGCTCCCCCCATGGTCGTTACATGAACCTATACATAAATCAAATAGCAAACCATTACACGTTCCAAAACAAAACATCTCATATCAATTAATGGGTCAGCCTTGGTGCCTTCGACCCATGAGTGTGATGAGAAGACTCACCTCAATACTAAATAAGTCTTAATAGACATATCTAAATAAGTTACTCTTAAGCTACTCACCATTACACCTCAATTATTACTAAGTTACTCTTAAGCTATTAAGACATATCTAAATAAGTCTTAATAGAAAGCAACATATTAGTCTTCATTCCATACAACATTTACATGAAAGGAAGAAGGGAGAAGGGGTTGTAAATGTGACAACCCGAAATTTCTATTCTGTACAACCATACACTTCAATAGAAGTCAAAACTATTTCTGCTAACTTTCAAGTTTTTAGGAATAAGTTTGAGGGTTTATAGATTAGTACTTCAGGAGATAATAGGAGAGAGGATGCATTAGGGTTTGTTGTGAAACAATAATGTCCCAAAACTCCAAGAGTTTGGAGTTTTCGGCCCAAAATAGTGTTAGGGCCGAAAACCCTAAAGAGTATATAAATGACACTTAGTCATTTTTAGCTTTTTTCACTTTCCAAGAACAAAACTCAAATCCTCTCAAGTAGCATCCGAGTTTCCTTCTAGATCTTCAACTTGTAAGTGTTTCTAGCCCTATTAAGTTGATATATTACTTAATCTAGCGATCTAACACACTTCCATTCGTGAAATCATTCCAAAAGGTTAGATCTTCAAGTTTCACCAAGAACACCAAGAACACACACTAGTGTTCTTGGACTTTTAGCACCTTTTCAAGCTTCTAACTAGTAAGTGCTTCTATCCTAGAGTAGTATAAGGCTTGTTACACTTCTAAACAGCAAGAAATCACCAAAGAAACAAGGATCAAAGGTGTTTTCGGTCTAAGAACACCTTGGACCGAAAACCCTAAAAAGGGTGCCAAAGTGTGCCCTAGCCCCTTCTAAGCCTTGGAAACTTGCATAGATCCTTTCCTCTTTGTGCTTAGGACTTGAAATCGGCAATCATCCATGAAAAAGAGGAGTTTTCGGTCTAGTGAATCTCCTTAGACCGAAAACCCTTATGAAAGGTGTAAAAGGACTTTAAACTTTCCTAATGCTTAGTATTGAGTCTAGAACACTTCTTTACTTGTTGGAAGCCCTTGGAAAATCACCTTATGCATCAAAGAACAAGAGTTTTCGGCCAACCTCTTGGACCAAAAACCTCGTGGACCGAAAACCTCCATGACCGAAAGGTCATTAGGACCGAATACCACTTGGACCGAAATCTCCATTTGGTAGCCTTGCAACCCTTAGATGAAATCATTGGGACTAATAGCACTTAATTAAGGTGTTTTACATATCCTAGGAAGTTTTAACTTGGTTAATTAGTTGTTAAATGACTAATTAGATACATATATGTTTGATTATATGTTAACTAGGATCATTGTGTGTGTACAAGTCTTCACTTGACACCTAGCATCCTACATCATCCGTTCATCCAAACCACCCACTACAGGTGAGTTCATACCCCTTAATCAATCTTTTAAATGATTTTAAATGCTTTAATGGGGGGGGGATACAAGTAGAAAACAGTATGTTATAATGGGGGGGATACAAGTAGAAAACAATATGTTATAGAATCAATCACATGTGATTTATAACTATGTTTTCAACCAACTGATTTCACATACTTCAAAATGTGATACACGAAATGGGTTTTAGTTCTGTTATACATTATTATCAAATGATTTACTTTTGGAATGTTTTATAAAATGACATCAAGTCATTATTATTTATTGTTCAAAACTCTTAAATGTTCTACAAAACCTCTTTCAACTTATTGTTAAAAACCATATCTATACACTTATGTTTCATGTATATATGTATTAATATAAGAGTTTTCATTCTTCATTCAGTTCCAACACTCTTGGGTAGCAAGAGTGTATAAACCTACTTGGACACTCAATTTACATTCGAGTAAACTATTATAGGTATAGTTTAGGGGATACAAAACATTATTCCTATTACAAGGAATTACACCAGAGTCAGTTCATTCATGAGTCTATACTAATACATCAATATGAAGAGATACTAATACATCCATATGAAGAGATACTAATACATCAATATGAAGAGATACTATTACATGGATACTGTTACATAGATACTATATGATGAGATACTATTACATATTATATGGGTAGATACTATTATATATGTACGAGACTAACCATTCTACACCCAGCTGTTAGCTACAGAGGGAAAATGC